AATATGTAGACCCCTTAAAGTAAAGGCCTTGTTCATAATAGGTTTGAGATGAAACTTTATCTTGTCTTCCCACGTCAAGTGTCTGGATGAACTTCTGTGATACTTCATGATCAGGTACACCTTTGAGGTCTATAGGCTGGGCCTCAGAATTTCTGTTCCTTCAGGTAAATGTTTTCCCAGCATCCAGAGACAATTTCCTTATCTGTTAAACAGCTGTTACAGTGTCATGATGTGTTCCATGTCAGTTCACAAACAGCCTTGCTTGTTTGAAACAAAGCATGCGTTTTAATAGGTCTGAATCTCTTATTGCACAGCTGAAAAAGTCTGATCTCTTTTTCAATTCAGCTACAGTTCTGTCCACGGAGAGCTCTTTTCCCATTGTCTTTTGATGGAAAAGACTTTCTTGCTCTTTTGCCTGGCAGTATACTGAAATTCATCAAGGTAATGGTTAAACTGTCCTTACCTGCAGCAGCTGCTTTCCATTAAATCTGTTCCTTCAGTCCTTCCCTTCCATGGGAACTGTGGGGTTACAAGCTTTAATGACAGTGTGTGTATGTTTTGCAGGGTTCTGTGTCTTTGTGGATCCAGTTTAAGCTCCTTTAGAAAAAGCTGAGGTGTACTCTAGCAAGGTAATTGCCCTATCTTTCTCAGGCTGACATTGACTATACTTGAAACAGTTCCTCAAGTTATTCGTGTAGTAACTGATCAATCCAAAACACTTGTATTTCCATGCCAAAACCTGTGGAAGTGAGTAGTGACATGCTCTTGAAATTTATATTATCTTTTTCATAGTCTTCTGAAATGGATTCCTTGCACTAAGTACACTGCTATCCCAACGCACCAGGGAGAACTCAAATTCCTTCACTGGCCATTAGGAGAAATGTCTTGGTTTGATACCTGGTATTTGGCCACCTGGGAGTCTGTTTGACACAGAAATATGAAAAGGCTTGAAGCTTGTTACACCAGTCCTGCCTGCCTGTCCTGTATGAGGACTGTTCCTCGTAGTTAAAAGTGGCGTGAATTTATATATGGTCATTTGCTCACAGGTGCAGAGTTATTTTCACTGACAGAGTTCTTCAGAAACAGCTGTCTGCATGTGTATCTCATATTCATCTGCTCTGCCTCCCTTTCCAGGGTTAATGGGTATTTGCCTGTGTTGGGATGATGTGGCTGCAAAGTCATGAAGCTGTGTATGGGCTGAGCAGGAGGGATGGCAGTAGTGAGTGAGCTATGTATACACTAATAATGGGGGAAAAAAAAAATCTCTTATGCAAGAGGGCTTCTATGTGTTCACAGCGTCAAGGTGCATGACTTCCATCTCTTGGAGAGCTCATTTTGTCATATTAGTATAATTTTTTTTAAATCTCTGTAAGATGTTTCTGCTTTCACCTTGTAGAAAGGAGATCAGAATTAAGCTGCAAAGGGTTGTGTGTCACTGCACAGTGCAATTCTCATATGCACGTGTAAGTTTAAGCAAGAAAACTCCTTTGTTGAGCTTTAATCTTCATCTCTACCTGTGTCCTGCAGTTTCTTCTGCATTTTAGTTTTTCCCTTGTGCTGACTGTTGCTTTGTTTCTTATTTCACTCTTCCTTTACATTCTCTTTGCCTGCTCAGTGCTTTATTCTTCCATTTCCCTGTATCATTTTCATTCTGAATCTTCCTGAGGTGGCGTTTCAGTCTAGCAGGTTGTGAGATGCACCAAAACATTTTTATGGTAGCTATGTGTTAAATGGGCATTCAGGAGGAAGTGCCTGAGAAACAGTGGCCCGTATTCATCTGTAGTGCGACTCTGATTATCTGAGATACACAGGTGTGAGACTCTACTGCTCTATGCAGTGTAACTATCCCAGGAAATTGATTAACCCTAATTACCAGCTGCATTTAAATGAACTAAGGATCAGGTTGCCATTCTTCAAGTTGATGTTACATTTCATGCTAATCTGCTATATGGAAAAAATAGGATGTGCTTTCCTATTTAGTAGTCAGTAAATTTAGCACTTTCCTATTTGGTAATTCAGTAAAGCATAATTTTCCAGTCTGTTTTTTCTCCGTTGTCTGCAAGTTTCTGGCCACTAATATAAATGTGTACTGACAAGAAATTCATCGGGCTTCTCTGCCCCTGAGGGATTACTTATTAGACTTATGCAATGCAAGGTATTAAAAACACTTTTGTCTGTCACACAGCCACGGGCAGGGGAGGGGGAATTTGCCAGTTGCTAATGGATACCTGGAGGTTTTGTGCATGACCATGAAGAACAGCTTGTGCACTTTCACCCCTGATGTTCCCTGAATAACTCGGGTCTCATTTAGGTCAATAAGCCTTTATCAAAACGTCAGGAGTGAAAAATGTGTCTTGGTGTAAGCCGACTGGTCGTTCCCTCCAGTCACTGGAGTCTATAGAACAATCAATGTTCTCTAAGCTTGTCTGCGTGTCATGCAAAGAACTGGATGACAGTAACCATTGACTGCATGTCTGTTGCATTGTCTTTGGAACAGCCCACATTTGCATACTTGCCAATGTTCCTGTTAGCCAACGAACCATGGAGGGGCCTTAAAAAACATACACACACAGCTCCGATGCAAATTTCCTACGCAGAGAATACACACTTCTTTAAAGCACAATCCAGGCTTTCAATTTTTACCTTCTTGCTATCAAAACGAAAATGCAATCCTGACAAGCCCGTGGTTTCTGGCTGTGCATGGACTGTTTTATTGTGCAAAAACATAATCTTTCCTGTGGGTTTGTCTTTTTTGTCTTTTCCTACTAAATTTCTTGGTTTTGTTTTTCTTTTTTTTTTTTTTTTTTTTTTGTAACCTGCTTTTCAGGGTTATCTGAAGAGTATTGTCTGTGCTAATGGCTAATGCATATGATATGAGGCCATACTTCCCTTCCTCCAATTAATTATTTTGAATGAAGGGCAGTTTTTGCTCTTTGCTCAGTTGCTATTGTCTTTTGTTGAGGGATTTTCTTTCTTAGTACTGATGAAAGAAGACGCATTCGTTTTCTCTAGACTGAAATTTTCTTGAATATTAGAGTTTATTGAAAATGTCCTGGAAATGAATGCAGTCATCTGGTCAGCAAAGACAGCCTCTGTTAGTTTGTTTTGCAGTAATGGAACCTCACAGAAAACAGCACTGTTAATTTTGTCCTTTGGTGTAGGTTCTTCAACGACTTGAAGTGAAACTGGACCAGGGAGAATTTTGTTTCATTTGAAACTTCTATCAGAAAACACAATCTTTCCTTAAAGAGCCTGCTACAGAGACTGTTTCTTTAGACTTATGACTTTAAATATGGCTTTATTTTATTGAAAAAAAAAAGATTTAATAACACTCCAAATTAGTTAAAGATAAGTGAAGGGTTCTGATGGATCCTTTCAGCAGCAAGCTGTACAAGAGATTCTTGGCTGGGTCAAAGGGTCTGAGCTTTATATTCATTACAGCCAACAATCTGAACAATTTCATTAGATGTTGAAAATGTAATTGGAATACAATATAACCGACTGTGATGTTCTTCTGCTGCACCTGACATCGTGCAGGCATGATAAGACTTTCATAACCGAGGAGGAGAGTCCTGGCATTCTCCTAGCTTTTTGGAAGTGCTGCAGAGTAATTTCAACACTGAAGTGCCCTGAGATGAGCACTTTATGCCATCAGAAGACTGGAATTTTGAAGCCATACAAATAATATCGTGAAGTGTATTAATGCATAACAATTTCTTCCCCTCTTCTAACTGCTTCTAGGCTTCTATTTTACTGACCTTTCAGGGCAATGTCCTGTCCATCTTTGAAGCTTATGACGTGACTTTCATTGATGTTGTCTGGGTTAAGGTTGCATCTTGAGTATTTTAGTTGATTTAGAACATCACTTTGAGTCACATTTGCTAATTTGATCTCATGAAAAACAGCAGCGAACGCTGCAGAAATGGCAGAGGCTGGGTAAAATGTTCAGCAGATTTCATTTTCTTTTTCATGTTAAATTGCTCTCTGTAATAAGGAGTTCATTATCTGCGTTGTCCTACAGAGCTGTAGTAACTAATCTGCTTTAGTTTTTCTGTATGCCACGCTCTGTGTATTTTCAGCTACAAGCCACTGTTACCATTCCAATTAGCAGTCTCTGCTGTTGACTGTGATAGAGAATGTGACCTGTTATTAGTGAAGTTGGCCAATAAGGAAGTACTGCCTTTCCTTGGTATTTGAGGTAACTATATTGAATGTGCCACACTCAACCAGTCTCTATGAAAGCAAGGTTTATCTGCACACCAAGTTCAAAAAATGACAGAATGGTACCTTTGTGTACCAACAGAAATGTCAGATGTCTTCGAGATTTATGGCTTTGTACAGATTTCCAAAGCAGGAAGTTAGTCTGTGGTTAACACGTGGTTCGGTACCCACAGCACTTCAGGACGAGACTCCTGTTTCTTACTGTTGACAAGAAGGGGTGCCTGATGTCTTACAGTGTTTTCAACACACCTGGGTATTGGCATGTCAGTAGTGGGTACTAGAAATGTTACTTTCATCCACGTAAGATTAAAAGAAGATTGAAAAAGTATAAATAAATGTGTGGTTTGGTATGGTCAGCGGGATGTGAAGCACACCTCTTCCTGAAATGAAATTCACTAGAAAAATACTCATCTTCTGAATGTGGGCTCTGTTTGTTTTCTTTGGCTTGGTTAGGAAACCTTTTGTTTGAATTACAGAGACCAAATGAGTTGTACGGAATGGTTTTCAGTTCTTGCACACGTAGGCGAGCCAAATTGCATGCAATTAAAGTATTAAAGCACTTACATTTGCTCTCAATCTTTAATTTTTGTTTGCCAGGTTTTCTGTTACCTTAAGTAGTTTTTGAATAGTTTGTGTTTTGTTTTGTTTTTTAACCTTCCAAATTGTGCATTTTATTTTAGCATTTCCTAATAGCTACTGGGGAGAAAAAAAAAAAAAAAAAAAAAAGATGGAAAGACAGTAGAACATTAACCTAGTTGTCCGTCTTCTGTTTCTTTTAGGAAATTGTATTAGTGGTATTCTTTGGAACAGAATATGTGGTTCGGTTATGGTCAGCAGGATGTCGCAGTAAATATGTTGGAATATGGGGAAGGCTTCGTTTTGCTAGGAAGCCTATTTCGATCATCGGTGAGTATGCACAGCTTGCAAGGTTGATGTAAACACCAAGTAACGGTTACACTTCAAAGTTCTGAAAAGATAAATTTCAGTGGAAATGAGAGCCAAGTGAAAGGGAAAGCTCTTGTCATTAGTATTATCGTAGATCTGAGTTTCCTTTCAGAAATCCACAGCACTCTTTGGAAAACAAATGTAGCTTGGCTTGTTTTTCCAGAAAAGCAGTGTGTTTTCTTTTCACAAGTGATCTGAAGCTTTGCCAGAAATAAGTCTCACCCATAGTCCTGTCTCCTGCAACCTCGGGACCCAAACACTTAGAATTGCTGCAACTTCTTTTCTTTTAAAGATGCTGAAATCCCCTTTATTTTTTTCTTCCCTGAAAGCCCTCTGAGTATTTTAATACGAGTTACTTTGCACTCTAATTGAGGCACACATTGCCTGGTGAAGCACAATAGATACACCGCAATTACTTCGTGTACCAATTAAATTAAAAACTGATTCTCAGCAATGCATTTGGATCTGGACGCCATTGTAGTTGATATCCTGACTGACTTCAGTGTTCATAGAAATTGCATTGGCATTCTCTCTACATGTCATAACTCATATTTTTTATAGAATGGTTGTCCTGTGTTTAATTTCACTGAGAGAAATGTAATAACCTAGAAGCACTCTTCACTCATAAGAGAGCTATATAAAGACAGTTGCCCTGAAGCACTTAAAATATAAATAGATTAAACAGAACAAGTTTTGGAGAGGAGTATTGTTATAGAAGCGCAATAAAGCTTGTTTTTCTGGCAGTTCTTTCCACTACTCAGAAATGCTATTTGTCGTTGACCAGAATATACCAGAATTGTTCCATAAGCAATTTGCAAGCTTTTCAAATGCAAATTACAAAATTTTGTACCTGGATATTGTTACAATCATAAAGTTACTTGGTTTAACTTCTCTGTGTGCGTGCATATATAATACGTACTTTCAACTTACTTTATATCTATGTGAGACTGCCTCTCGGATGTGACTGCAGCTATAAAATCTCTGTTACAGTAGAGATCTCTTGAGATAAAACTGATGGGGTCATTGTTCCAAGTAAAACTGACATTGGTTATAGTAACAGCCTTGTGGAAGCATTACAAGCTGTCTCTAGCTCATTTTTTTTCAACTGACTTTTATTTTTCAGATTTAATTGTAGTTGTCGCTTCCATGATAGTTCTGTGTGTGGGCTCTAAAGGTCAAGTCTTTGCAACCTCAGCTATCAGGTAATTATATGCAATAGAAGAAAATAATGCTGTCTGTTTGAGTTAGGTGGCTTTTTTCCCCCCTTTTGTTTACCTCCCGTAAGGGTGAAAAGCAGTCTCCTCTGACATTCACAGAGTAACAGAGCAGATGACCATTCACATATGGGTGTGAAATAGTAATGTCATGAAGTGTAGTGAGAATAAAGTTTTTAATCTGTTTTCTGGTTGTGATTTTCTTACTCTAGCAATGGATTTATGTCTGTTTGGGGTAGGAGTGAACATCTAGGCATGCACCCCCGCTCCTCAAAGAGACAAACCTTGAAGTCTACCATAAAATACTGTGCATCTATTTTAAAACGGTCCTTTGGAAGGCACAGACTTCCTCTCTCAACCTCTTTTTCTCCTCTTGTATGTTTGGCCTCTTCATTCATTTAAAACTTTTGTTCTAGGGGCATCCGTTTCCTGCAGATTTTGCGGATGCTGCATGTTGACCGTCAGGGTGGCACGTGGAGGCTGTTGGGATCAGTCGTCTTCATACACAGACAAGTAAGTTTGGGTACTCCAAGGAATGGCAAAATAATGGATGCCATTTGTTTAATAGTAATTTAAGTTCCTATATTCAGAGCAGTGTCTATGCAGACATCCATACGATGTTAAATATATTCAGTGTGGAGACAGGCAGCCATTTATTTTATCCAAATGCAGTTGTTCTATCCTGTTCAAGGGACAAAAAAGCATGTAAAATATTAAAAATATTCACCTACACTTTGGAAAACTTTTGATGTATATGTGGACTTAACCACGGAGAATGAGACTTTTAAGACAGAATGTGAATGTTTCTGTGAAATATATATCTAAGTCATAAAGTTGTTTTGAATACAGTAGCACTGTATGAAAAATTCAACCATCCAAATTTGGGTGACCAAAAAGTTAATTTGTCACATTTGCACGTGAGGAACATGTGGTTATTTCTAACGTTCAGGCAGTGCACGCTGGGCCGAATCATTAGATACTCAGTAAATTCTTTCATCACTGAGCACAGTGGATTCTTATTAAATTGCACAGCCAACAGTTGGAGTCAGTGTTTATTACATGCTGAAACTGCATTCTTCTGAACCAGTTCTCTTTTAGAAAGCACCAGCGATGTGTAACTTAGATGTCTTAACAGTACTGAATCAATGTTATTTTGACTCTGTTTGCAGGAACTGATAACTACACTCTACATTGGATTTCTGGGCCTGATTTTTTCCTCTTATTTTGTGTACCTGGCTGAAAAAGATGCTGTAAATGATTCTGGAGAAACAGAGTTTGGCAGCTATGCAGATGCCCTATGGTGGGGAGTAGTAAGTATGGCAATTTTACATGTTAGCAGTCTCAAGTATGAAGCGTAGTTCAGGCAGACACGGAGAGAGAGCAGCACTTTGACATGGCCTCTTATTGCTGCAATAAACTTTCTGTTTTTTGTGAGTCTGTGAAACCAAGAAAATACTATAGAAGATCTGTGGTTTTATTTGATGTTTCTTGTCTTATGTGATCCAAAGTGATCAAGTTCTGTATACAAGGTATAGAAAAATCTACTCTTATTTCTACATGCTGTCTTCCCATCTGTTATAGTAATTTACTTGCTGCATATCTCATGGTAGGATTCAACCTTCTAATACAATAAGGCTTGCTAAGTCAGGGTTTTCCTCTTTTTGTTGTTGTTGTTATTCTGCTTATCTATGGTTTATCATTCAGGCTGGTACAGTAATTTCCTGCTTCATCAGAATAGATTAGTTCCAAAACAAGGATCATCTGAGATGCTTAATAAATCTGGGCACAGGACCTTTTTAAATTACTATATTGCTTTGGGACCGACTCAGTAACCTTATGTGGCATTCCTCTTCACTGAGTTTATTCCTATCTTGCTCAGAGGTATTACAGGTGTCTCCAAGATGTTCCCATACTTTGACATGTAGATGAGTCTTCAGTTTTGCTCATAAATCTCTGCTGCAATGGCTAGTAGTGACAGTTGTCTTTCTATTTTCTATGTGTACATACTGATTTGGCAGCTCATTTGAATTCTGTTGTTTCTGATAGTAACAATTCCCTCCTTTTCTCCCATGATTTGCAAATATTATGTTGGCTGCTATGTTCTGGGATTTTCATTTTGTAATTGTTTTCCTTTCCCTTTCCTGCTAGACGTTAAAGGAAGGGAGTTGGAACTAGATGATCTTTCTTCCAACTTAAGCCACTCTATGAGTCAATGATTATGTATGGAGCAGCCCTCATACCTCCCTTTCACTGACAGAATCTTCTTGAGAAATAGTTTTTTATAAACTCCTCCGTATTTGTGTTCATATTGTCTTCTCTCTACAAACACTACAACACTCCATTTCAGGAAGGAAGGATCTGCATATACCCTTGTATGAATCCAGCAGATTGTGTGTAGGTTGCTACTAAAATCTGCTGATGAATTCTTTTCTCTGCGTTTGCCATGATAGAAAGCTCCCTCTAGCACCAGAAAACTTGCTGTGTAGTGCAAGGAAGTGGCTTTCTGGCAAGGAGCTTCTTTGATGCTTTCATATCATCACAGTATTTTTATTTTACAGTACAGGACTCACATAAATCAGTAATAAACAATGGCAGATGAGGCTGCATTTAAAAACACATGCTGTCATTGGCATTAGCATTAAAAATTGAATACGTGACAGATGAGGTTGGCTTTCTAGAAATACAGGAAAGCTTTCTTTCCACAGATGCAATGAGATCTGTCAGGATATTGAAATACTTTCTTTCCAAGGAATTACTGTTCAATTAATACATATGCCAGTTATTTATTATTTATTCTTTTTCATTACAGTCAACTTGTTTAATCAACAGATTTAATTATGGTCACATCGTCTTCCTGTCATAATTTATTTCAGGATACCATTTGGACTGTGTGTTACCGTATTCAGTGAGTCTCTAATGGAACTTGCTTAATATTAGAAATAGAATTTAGTGTCCCTGTTCTGCTCTAGCTGCAGATTGTTGGAAGGATTTAATAAAACATAACTGAAATAAGTTCAGACCTATCTCTTCTTGATTGTTGTTTGTTTGATTATTAGTTCTTTCTGATTGATTTTTAGGTTTTTTGGTTGTTGTTTTTTTTTAAATTAGATTAAAAAAAGAACCTACAAACTTGGTCCAATATCTGACGGATGCTTCCTGCTGAGGGTCTCCAATTATTTAAAACAAAACAACAAACAACTCTTGAACTGTTAGTTCCTAAAAGTTTCAGTTATGTTTTAGGCAGAATTTTCAGAATGGCTCGAATTCTGCTCACTGAAAACCTATCTCCATCTGTTTTGGACTGGGTATGCAAAAAGTAATTTGCAATTCCTATCTCAAAGACCACCACAGTTATATGATCTCTCTGGCACGCAGCTGATCTCACTGCTCAAAAAGTGTCCTATTTGGCTTTTGTAGCAGGCAGTACATCTAAAAGAACAGGACTTGATGCTGTTTTCACACACCCATCATTTCACAATCTATAGCACAGTGCTTCTCTTTTTTTTTAAATTAGCTCAGTGTATATCTATGCTGCTAATGTAGTTCTTTGGGTAATGGTAACAGAACATGCAGCATAGCATAAAGTAGGTAATTTAAAAGGTCTATGTTACCACAACTAAACTCCATCTGGAACTGGGTACTTTTATATTGCTTTGCTTTGCTGACTGTAGGCATACCCATAGGGTGCATAACTCTTAATTAAATGTTCTTCATTGTCATTGTTGTTATTTTTAAACCTATATTGTTGTTCCATTTCCATATGTAAAATGGCATCCTGGACTTTATTTGAATTTCCTTCAGTACTCCAGGCTGTAGTTATTGGCTAGCTTGTAGGCTGCTTGGAGAAAACTGTGGTTACCTTGTCACATGGAATAAAGTCTTGTCTGTATTACTGCTGCTTTTGAATGCAGAGTGTATTGTATAAATAATTCTGCTGATGGCAGCCTGTCTTGTATGCCTTGTAAAAGACAAAGTTGTTGTTTGTTACTTGCGTTTTATTTGCACCTCTCATCTACATAGGGCAGGTATGCAACCTGTTCACTGTTCTGTATAACAAAGCATGCAGTCACTAAGACCTAAAGAAAGATGATAAAAACTAACCAAACCAGCAAGATGTTCTTATCCAGTCTCTCAAAGAAGATCTTCATCAGGAAGTGTTATTGTCCTGTTGTTTCCGTTGTTTGTTTCGTTGTTGTTCTTAGGTTTTCTTTGTTTAATTTTTTTCTTCCCTTTAAGTAGTAAAATTGGTCACGCCTCAGGCAGATGGATGGGAGCTCTCCTTTTGATATCCACTGATTGGTACACAATTTCCAGCTTTCACATCTGAACAAACATCCTTCAGGAAAACCATTATGTGGATTGTGCTAGCAGTCTCTTTAATCATGAGCACTATTTGCCAGAAGCAATTATTGACTATAGCCATGCATGAATATCGTGCTATGCCCATTCCTTTGGATTGGATTGAGGACTTGTCTGCAAATACCAGCTTTAGTTAAGAGTTTCCTATTCCTTTAATTTTGAAATACGTGCTTTCTCACTAAGGACCGAATTCAACAAACACTGATAAGTTTACTTCTAAGCAAAACAGCGTTCCTGCTTAGCAGAGCCTAATTAATTTCACTTCATTTTCCTATCTCGTGTCTAGAACTATCCTTGTAGGGAAAGTTCTTACAGGGTTTTCAGAGTTTCCTCCTAAGATATTTGGCTATTTTGTATGTAATTAAGCATTATTTTTTTTCTTCTTGCACCTAAATAATACTGTTTCTTTTGAATTACAATGACTGTTTTGTGAGGTGTAGTAATAGTAATATTACTACAGAGCAGAAGAAAAATGCTGCAGAATTTCCAGAAGCAGCTCAGAACTTGCAGTCAGACTATCTGCTTATGGTCATAACTTTCCCCAGCACTTTCAAAATCATGGCCCATTTGAATTTGCTGTTTTATTTTCTGACGCTTTCTGTGCAGAAATGATATCTTGCACAAGGTCTGGACAACAGAAAGCCTTTTACTACAGATCAGAGAACTCTGTGTGGTCGAGATCGGCACTGGAGCACTGATGAAAGCAGATCTTATAGGCAGAGCTGCCTGTTGACTCTGCATGCTGACTGCTGATGGCCAGCAGAGCTCCTGCTATTTCTCATTCATCTGATGAGGTAGTAGAGAAGGACTGGCACAAGGCAGTGCAGCCTGCAGTGTCCCAGAGAAAAAGAGCACATATTGCTGTACTGTAAAAAACCTGAACAACTCACAGTGAATTATCAGGTGAGGGCACAAAGCTGCTGGGTCACCTGTGAGTTTTGTTACTTGTGTGCATGTTAACTACTGTGTTCAGGTCTAAAATTGTCAGTTAACTCCCAGTAAAAAGCATCACAAATCTTTTGCGCTATATGTTATTACATTCCTTAGAGAGTTTTGATACACAGATGATGATATTGCTAGGAGGTTTTAAGACTTCATGCCAGACAGTTTTCATAATTTAGTTACCTTTGTGTTTTGGTAGGGCTGAACAAAACTCCAGTTCAGATAAACACTGACTGTTTGCCCATGCCTTCACTAATAATGCACAGTTCTCTTTGTTTTTGTGCAGTACGTTTGTCCTACATCTTGTTCTCCTTGAGAACTACAGTCAGGGAGGGAACAGCTTGTTTCACAAGAGCTACTGAAAACAGCTTTTGTTTGTGAGGCTAAACACTGAAAATGGGATCCAATGGCCTTTGTAGTGCACTGTGTTGCAGGTGTGTGTACTGCAGGAGCTGGCTGACGAAAGAATGGAGATGAATAAAATGAGACCATGAAACAGAGGAACAAAAAAAATGAAGTTGGATTTCTCATATTTTGGAAATGAATAGGAGCCTGCAGGAGTGTCAGTTCTCATCAGAAGCTTTTCCAGGTTCTGCTGCAGAACCTCCCCATAGAAACTGTAGAGGAATGCCAATTAATTTTCAAATTGAATTGCATTTTCAAGAAGTAGTGAACGAAATGATGTACTTTGGCTGACTTGACCTACCCATAAATTAGAAATAGCAACCAGAAAGCCCCCTTGCATCCTGTGTGCTTACTAAGCTGGGTAAAGCTGCTGTCGTGTCCCACCCACTCCCCCTTGTTTGTTTGTTTGGTTGGTTTTTTTGTTTGTTTGTTTTTTGGCACACAGGAGCAAATTTTCAAATTTTAGGTGAGCTCAATTAACTTTTAATATTTACCAGTTTTTTGTTTATTTTAGGACTTTTTCTTAGTAATATCTCTCAAGTGGAGATGGTTAGTTTGGACACCATTTGATTAGGATGCTGAGATGGCCATTACATTCTAGTTAGAGCTGAAAGTGACATCTGGAGGTAGTATTAGACTAGGACCTGTGAGTGATAGCTGGGCAGCACTGATCTGTTACGTTGGGTTTTTCTATTTTTCTTTAGCTTTATACAGACTGCATACTTCATAACAAAGTAAGCATAAGTATCTGATGTATTTACACTTAATGCATTAATCTTAAGAGCTGGGAAAGATTGTACTTTATATTGAACAGGCAGAAATGCAGTTGACTAAGTAAGACATCAGGCAGTAGAAAAGCTTCTAGTGTTTTCTTTACAGAAGAGCATTTAAACCACTTAGCAGTTTACACTGTATTTCAGTTGCAAAGAAGTCAAGGAAACAGTCAGTGTTTCTGGTGTATCTCTGGATGTTCTTATATTGCTTGATTTAATGAAGATGAGTACTTAAGTAGTCAGAAAATTCTGTTATTTGGTATACAAAAAAAAAGCAACACAAAACCCCAGTGCAATTCATTTTGAGGTTTCAGTGCTACAAATTTGGAGACTACATTAATTACTTTGTTTTTAAAGATGGCATTCCCTTGTTTGCTTCAGCAAACAAAATCTACTTTGTTTGCTAACCCAGACCTGTGATATCTCCCCTTTTATTGCCACTGAGTCATGCATTCTTGTATTCTATAGCTGCTGAGCTACCTACATCAGCACAAGGCATTCAGTATTTCATCACAAGAGCAACTTTACGCACCTGCTTAGTTTGTTCTCATTCTACCCAGACAGCCTTGAATAAAACCTTTATTCAGAAATGGTGAACAGTGTGTGATCACTGTTTTCAGTTGTTGTCAGATTTTGTTTTTGCTTCACATTTCCTCTGTTAGACTATTCATGCATGTATAATAAGGACAAGATTAATCATAGCGCCAAAGCCTGTGATGTACATCAGATCAAAGTTCTGAAATAGTCAGTGGATAAATATGATTTTTCTCTAATTAAAACAATTAGTTTTCCATACTGCTTTGTGATGAAAATTTAATGTGTGAGCTCTTGTATCAATTTAGTTTTATTATGCCCGTGTATTTAGTATGCTAGAGTAGAAGTTGAGTCAATATTTCCATTATTATGATCCTATTCTACAATTCTAAAATTAGTATTGTACTCTTCAGGGGGCTTAAACCTAACTAAAAAAGATCACTTAGGACGGAAACTTGGCATACAAGCTTTCAACAACATATATTTTGGTGAAAAAGAAAATGTAATTTTGGAACACAATACACTTGTAAATGGGTTAGTTGTGAGAATAGAGGAAAATGTTAACTTAAACACATGTTGTGATTTGCAAGTTATTTATGACCAAACTGTGTATTTTTTTTAATATATATCCCAAACAAAATGCACATAAAATACTTTTATTCTATCATTGATCCTTCGTGTAGAGGGAATGGATGGGGTTGGTAGTGGAGGGAGGGAAAGACAGATACCTTTCAGATTTGTATGAGTTTTTCCTGTGCATCTGTTTATTTTCACATTTCTAGTTGATGTATGTATTTAAACAGGCCATTAAGATTGTAATACACAATAGTTGATACTGCTTTTCAGTGATATGATTGTGTAAAGTTTTTTAAAACTGAGGCATGAAAGAGCTCATCTCATAATCTTTGATGTAAAATGGTGCCATCACATTTTCCAGAATTGGAAAATTGTGATGGAGGCCATCACATTTTCCAGAATTCACTTGTTTATGTAAGACAGCGTTTTGTGAGCAGAAAAATTGTGATTAAAATTTAGAATTTCCTTTAAATGGATCCTCTCATATGGGTTTACAGGATAAAATAATCACTTCAGTTTCTTCAAAGGCTTTGAATTTCAGCAATATCAAGAATATAGACTAAGGTATTTGTGTACTGGCCTTACCTTACTAATCCTTGTATTGGATGGGAACAAGGTTTGGAAATAAGCCACAGTTTAAGAACTTATCCAGAACATTATTTCATTTTAATCTATCAGTGACTTGCAACAAACTTGCATCATCATCATTTCAAGTAGCCACAGCTGTCCTTTTGTCATGCATTTGACAGACACAGAACGATAAATTGCTTGGAAGGTGGGTAGTGAGAGTCGATGGCTTGCTTCAGGTGTTTTTCAGGTGCAGCTCAGGTCGGAACATAAATATACAGTGTTTCCCTCTGCTGTCTCATCTTTTAATAGGAATGGATGGCTATTAATGTGACAGATGGCAGCACTTCTGAACCACCTGTCACAACCATCGATTTCCCAAGGTCTCCATTCCTTCACGCCATTAAGAAATATCTCACTCGTATAAATCTGCCCTTCCCTTCTCTTCTTTCCTCCTCTGGAGATGCTGCCTGTGTTTCTGCAGTTGCTGGGGAGAGTGCACTGAAGCAGACAGGTGAACTGGGAGTGGCTGCAAGGCGCAGGAGGGATGGTGTGTGGGTATTGCTGTCTGGGACTGATGTCTTCTGTGGCCTGTGCAGCTGAAGCTCATGCTCTCAGAGGGAAATGTGAAAAGCCAGCAGCTGAGGTGTGCTTCTGCTGCTTGAGAGTGTTTCACATGTTCTGGTTTAGTTAGCCTTCTTCAAAGCCACAGATAAAAATCTCTTTAATTTCCAAATTCAGGAATAGCTTGTGACATAGGTGAATTTAAATTGCTCTCAGATGCCAAATATATCCTTTCTGCTTCAAACAAATCCATTCTTTCCTTGAACTCCTGTAAATGATGACTTATTAAGCCTTGTTATGCTACATCACCATGGTGGTAATCTTTACTTCAGTGGAACTCAAACTCAACAGATGTTTCCTGTATGTGTGCATTAAATTATCTGTTCTTGCTCTCGATGTTCTGTCCGAGTTTATGATTCATTAGTCTGTTTTAAGGATCTGTTGCTGTACGGAAATTTTTCTGCTTCTCTTGCTGTTTATGCCAACATTATTCTCTAGAATACTTCATGTCTGACCCCATTTGTATTCCATAGTTACAGTGTGTGTACATGTATATAGACTTTCCTTGCAACAGCCCTCAAATTCTCTCAGCAGACTTCTCCTGCCCATAAAGAAAATCAGCAATTCAGAACTGCTGGCAGCCTCCCTCTAAGGGAAGGGTATGGTGTGGGCAGGCAGCCCACAGCCCAGAAACTCCTATACTGTAAAGTTGACTAAGCCACGAAGACTTACATTAATGGTTTTGCTTTACAAGATTTTAAACACGTATTTTATTGTAATTCAATTTCCTGTACCTCCTTCATTCTATTATGGATGAGGAAGCAGACCGAGAGCAGGGAACTGCCTTCTTAATGTCACACAGATTGTCACTGGGAGCGTTCGGAACACCACTGATGTTTCTTTAAAATAATTAATGAAAATGAAATAAAGAAAAGCCAACCAAAACTGACGGGTTAAAACTTTCTGTAAAGCTCTATGTGTTTTTCCTCACAGGTGACAGTTACAACTATTGGCTATGGGGATAAAGTACCTCAGACCTGGATTGGAAAGACCATTGCTTCTTGTTTTTCAGTGTTCGCAATTTCATTTTTTGCACTACCTGCGGTAGGTTATTTTTTTGTTGTTGATCCATTCGTTCTGAGAAGAAGCTTTTTGTTAATAACTCCTTAAACTTCAGAATCTAAAACCAAACACAGAGTTCTTATTGTATGCAACATTAGATTTTCTGTGCATTTGAGAAAGGGGCGTGTAATTCAAAACACTTTCTTTCTGCCCATCTAGGAAGTGCAAAGAAAGTACTTCTCATGTTATTTACTTCTGGGCTTTGTAACTTAATGTTTTGACTTTTTAAGACATTTACTCGTAGTTTATTCAACTGATTAAGTCCAAGGTAAACTGGAGGGTTCTTATGCACACTCTTCCTCTGGCAGAGCTACAGAAACGGTGTTGCTGGCAGAGGCAGCAGTAAGCAGTCAGGTGCAGAGATGCTGTCAGCTAATGCATCTGCTTGCCAAGTTAATGTATGACTATGGCCAAAGTCTCATGTTCAAAAGTGATTTAGGGATGAGATTTTAAAGATATATTGGCTCTTTGCGCTGAGGACAGATTAGTACTTTCTAACAAGATATGGGATACCTGAATACCAAAAGTAAATTCAAGATCAGCAAAACCTAGATTGTGGTTTGGAAACCCAAAATTGTTCAGTGCAAAGAGTCGGTAAGGGTATTGCTTTCAAAAATTCAGCAGTACTTGTAAACTGTGCTTCTAAAATGTTTGTGCAACCTGAACTGTGCTGTCAAAAGGTGAAATTGGATGTGAATTGGATGAAAAAAATCTGGATCCGAATAGAATATCTCCTACTGTCAAAATCTTGCCAGCTTTATTTTTTAGCAAGTTTTTCAGCTGTATTAGCATAATATGACTGTGGCAGGGAAGTGTTGGGAATAAGCTTGCGATGGATAATAATAATATTTTTATACCAAAACCTCCACAAAAATTCTTCAAAATATTTAACAGCAGCTGTTAAAACTAAAGTGGCTGTTTAAAAGTAGTCACTTAATTACTCTTCAAAAGGTTGAGTACTTTTGAAGTAAGTATAGATTTTTAAACTCTCCAACATCGGTGTGTCTTCAAGATATATTCTCCCCTTTTTACTTTCACATTTGTACCTTAATTAGAAGAGAGACTTAGTAAATGAAATGACCTACACGAGAAATGTGAAAATCTGCTTTTTTGGCTGTTTTTCTTCTTGGACTTGAAAGACAGCAAGATGTCGTATAAATACATGTATATCAGCCCCACGTTTACAGTAATGCTTTCCTGTTTACCTGTAGAAATGAAAGAACACCCCAGCACCACCTTTATCACTGAGATTCTATTATTGAGTTGAACAATTTCTGTGAGTTGCTCGTAAGGGGAAACTTAGGATTTGAAGCTCTAGTGGTAACTGTTGCACACTGCCCTGCTTCCTTTTTAAATGAGGAGAACTGTCTAAGATCCCAGACAAAAATAATTGCTGTGGCTAAATGAAACTGATGTGAGTTCTGGGTCTAGCAGTGATCCTGCTTTTTCCAAACATGGGATGTTTGATCATCATTAAGTCTTTGATCTTGGCTCAATGATTGTAATAGGAAAGGTCTTTCCTGTTTCTTTCAAAGCACCGAGTGATTAATACAGTTCTTACAGATCGAGCCAAGATCACTGGCTGCCCTGATACCTTGACTGCAGAAAGCAGAATATGCTTTTTTGAGTTGGTGCAGTTATATAAGCTGATTTATGGAAGATTTCAGTATTTTTATCTGTCTGGTAGTAAAATCTTTGTTAAATATGGCTGTAGCTATGCACATGAACACATAAGTGACTTGCCTTATACTTAATTATGGACTTTAAACTATGTTTGGAAGCTGCTTCCAGTGCCATGCTGCTTATCCTGAAAATGCTTAAGATGGCCTCAAGCTGAAGTCATCTTAGTCCTGACTATTTTTATGTTCCTTTTCCTTTTTCTCGTCTTCCCATTCCTGCATAGGATAATGTATAAATGTAGGAGCTGCTTTACTACAGTTAAAAAGGCTTTCTTGTGACCTGAGTCTTACCATGCCAAAGCTTTATTAATAGTAAAAATGAAGTTAAGCACATCAGGTTTATATTTTTCCCTATTCTGTCATTCTCCTGCACAAGGATTTTATGAGGCTTTTGGAGGGTATGAATTACCACTGCTGCTTGCTTTTTAGTGTTTGAACTCAGCAGACTTAAACAGGTTTTGAATCAGGGCACGAGAGAATTCATAGTTTGTTTCAACTGGTAATATTAACTGAGTCTAAAAACAGTATTAAGCCATTTCCTCTCAGTAATTAGTGGGGTTTTATGATGCTGAATGGGAGTTCATTAATGCAACATAATTTGGCAAGCTTGTGTGCTTTCTTTCGTCCTTTTAAAAATATGTTTTAAAAAAAATTAGTTGTATGTTTTCTTTGTTCCCAAAGGGAATCCTTGGTTCAGGCTTTGCCCTGAAGGTACAGCAGAAACAAAGACAGAAGCATTTCAACCGTCAAATTCCAGCTGCTGCCTCTCTCATACAGGTACAAAGTTCTTGCATTTCACATATTATCATTTTTCTCCATTTGTACTTTTTTCCAATCTTGGCAATGTTCCATGGCCTAATTCATGTAGAAAATTGCCTAAGACTTAGGAATACCGGTCTCTTAAACAACTTTTGTGTTTACAGTGGTGTTTCCAACTAACGAGCAGGAAACTTCACTCCCAAATCAGGTCAAATTCTTTGCTTCTGCAGTTTAAAGTAGAAACTGAAGGCTATCCTGTGGCTACTGAACAGTTTAACTGTGGAAAAAGTTATGAAATGCTGTGTTTACAATAGTGAAAAGTAGAGAATAGGCTTCATGTAAAATCGTGTTTTAAAACAATATTGTTCCTTGTAGAAACAAATGTCAGGTATATTTCATTTTCTTTTGCACAAATAAATTCTTAAAAATCTCAGCTTTCAGATAATTAAATTGGAGATGACTGGGAAATGTGAGATTCTGCAAAATCATTTTTTTTCTGTAGGGTTCCAGAGAGGCAGAAAATTTAATGCCATCTATTAAAAGTATGGTTGTAGTTCTGTGTGAAGCTGGCATTCAGCTCACAAAAAGTGTTGATTCTATGGAGGATTTTTTCCTCCTTGTTTCCCCCTCACTCAGTTTCTGCACGTAGCTGTAGAAGTATGTGATCAAATTCAAAAGAAATGTAGATGTACCCCTATGTTGTGTCATTTTTGCCTTCTCGTATGACTTATTTCTCCACCTTCATGAGTGAATGTGGATTTCCAGGTCAGGCTCTTTATGGAAACAGTAGCTAACTGTAAAGTTTATGCTTGAAACTAAACAGTCCCAGAGTTAATGTGAAAAAGTTTTAAATTTAGAGCTCTGGTATTAGCCAGAGATTAACCAAAAGTCTTCAGACTCGCTGTGTTTTGTTTGGATTACATGGTCAGAGAAAGGATGGGTACTTAGTGTTCCCACTGATTCTTTTGGAAATCAACCCCAAATTATTCTTAAGTCTGAGACTGCATGTGTAGAATGTCATACTTGGCTTCTCTGAAATACTAAAGAGTGGAGCAAAGACAGTGAGTTGTTTACTTGTTATTTGTACTGATTATTACTATTTGTTAGTAGTTGTGGATCTCTAGAAGCCCAATTGAATAAGTTCTCTGCATCTGATTTACAAAGCAATTACTCTTAAACCAGTAAGTTTGTGAAATAAGTTCAGGAGAGGGCAACAGCTGAAATTAGCACTTCTTTTTCTTGTATTCCTTCTCGCTTTCTTCTAGAATCCACTTGTTTCTTCCAGTATCCTATTAACCATGGTGGGAATTATATGATTGTTTGATCCTTTAGTTTCCAAATGCTGTCTGCTTTTTCTCTATCATTCTGCATTGCTTTATTTCTTTCATCTTGTGTATTCTGCCTTTTCCTACTTGAGTGTATGTGAATGCCTGATACATATGGTGTAGAAGTGAGGGTCTACTGTTCTAATCTGGAGACTAATTCTTAATCATCTTTGATCACATATTTACATTTTAAGAGAGAATGCAGCAGTGCTTTGTCTCTGGTCTCATTTCCTAGCCCTGCTTTTCCTCCTTTGCTCTTTGAACTTAGTACTTTAATCATTGGTTGCTGGGGGATATGGAAGATTGCTTTTGTTTTTTAGCTCCTGCTTAACTAATTGTGCTGTTTCATCATGTGCTCCATCATCATCACTTCCTTGAAAGAATATAGCCCTACTGACCATATCACAGTTGCTTCTTTTCCTGACAGAACTCTTATGGAAGAATGATTTTATTTTATTTTTTCCTATTTAGGGGCCTGAAACATGGGATGCAATAGGCAAAGCATTCAAAGTTTCAAAATCACAGAGGGAAACTGGTGCAGAGCGAGAAATTCAGCTCCAGTCTCCCGAGGCGTGTCTAGAATTCTCTTTTATTATTTGCTGCTAATGCAAGTACAAGTAGTACTTGAAAACATTGGTCTTACTTTCCATTTTGCCCAGCTCAAACTAAGTGTTTTTTGTTTGCTGATTGAAGATTCTGAACCATTCTGAGTTAATGTTTTCATGGGAGAAACTACAGAGTGCTTATAGATTTCTTACGTGCTGACTTAGAAGTTATTGTGTAGCATGGGTTGCTACAAATCCCATTGCACTGATTGTTGCATTGCCACAACTTTTTCTCTAGACTGCCTGGAGATGCTATGCAGCAGAAAACCCAGACTCTTCGACATGGAAAATATATATTCGAAGACCTGCCAGAAATTATCATTTGCTGTCACCCAGTCCAAAACCAAAGAAATCAGTGATGGTATCATTAACTAACATTTCTTTATATAGAAACTTCAAATGCTTTTAATTGGATCAATTTTTTTTTACACTCTAGAGGCTTAATTGGGTGGTTTTTGTTTGTTTTTTTTTTTTTGCTTTACAGAGTTTTACTAGGTTTCAAAGTTTTGTTTACTAATCACTTTTGTGGCTTTCAGTATACAAACATTTTAAACTGCAACTTAATTTGCTTCAGTTACCAAGCTTGAATTATTTTTTATTGCATTTATGAGTTTGGAAAAGAATGATAATGATCTACCTCAGGCAACTCAAACAATTACTTAATGTTGTTTGCAAAAGTATATGCAAAGAACAAAACCCCAGAAAATGTATATTTCCAAAACTGCAACTTTATAACTACTTTAAAACGTGCAAACAAAAGAGTAACCCACATCCTGGTGCTTCACTCAGCTACCATTGATTTTATGTTTCTCTAATACACCTTGTGCCCATGTATGCTATATCTTATTCCATAGCTTAGAATGTTTGTTTATTCATTTAAGATACAGCAAGAAGTCTTTACATTATGTATCTTTACATTATGTAATACTTCGTCCTCTCTTTTGGATGTGTGGTAGCCATGTACTGGGAAGAAGAGGATATTTTACAAAAATTTCTCATATTATCATAGATTCATCTGAATTCAATAGCACTCTATTGGTTTGCTCTCTGCTGAAGGTATGATTTATTGTATCCACTAAAATGGTAAAGATATTCTAGAAAGTTTCATTTATATAAACTGTTGCAGAGCTAGCCAATTATTATTGCAGGCAAGGAATTTGCTAATGATGATGTATGGAATTCTAGGGATTAGCCAGTTTGGGGGGATGCAATCTCATTAAGAAATTCACAGTATAGAATGATGAAAGTAGAATTGGTCATGTACTCTTTTATGTGGTTATAGCTCATTAGGGACTTTGTTATTATTGTAGACAATGAAGAGCTGATTTAATGCGGCTTGCTTTGGTAATTTAACGTATGTGCATTTTTAGGTTAAAAAGAAGAAATTTAAGCTAGACAAGGACAACGGGCCTTCTTCTCCAGACAAGATGTTAACAGTTCCACACATCACTTATGACCATGTGACGGATGACAAGAAACCTGATTTCTGTTTCGATACATATGAAAATTCTGGTAAGCAATTTGTTGTAGAATGCATTGTCTTCTGTTAATGATTTATGCGTAGGCACTCGTTAATATGTACAAGAGAAAGGACGGAATTAGTTCTTGTCCTTGTTACTAAAGTAAGATAATTTTGCTTTTTGACTTTGCTGGCTTGTCTGGTTGAGGTTCAGCTGTTCCTTTAATGAATGTACTCTGTTGTAGACGAACTAAGATCCTTTGTCGTTTCTGCCTGCTGGAAGAGCTAGCCTCTCTAAGGCGCTAGCAGTCCCCAGTTCTTCAATTGATTAGAGATATCAGCTGCTAGCTTTTCCGTGTGAAATTTACTCAAGACATGTTACTATCATGCTTGTACCTCAACCAGAAAGGTCTGACGTATGTTGGCAGCTCTGAGCATAGTCTGCTATGTGAAAGCATTGTCTGCTCCCACCATCTGGTCAGTGGAGCCGGCCGTGAATCGAACTTTGAAATCAGAAGTGCTGAGGATAAATGTGTATGCATCTATATTAACTGTCACTGTGCAAAAAGGTACAGTGTGAGGAATAAAAAGAAAGGGCCATGTTTGGTGATCACCTCATAATTGATACTTCAGTAACCGGTGCTTGAGTTTTCATCTGTCTGCTCAAATTTTGACCTAGCACCAATTTTAATTCATTTCATGTGCTGCATCATTCTTTCTGTGCTTTTTCATTCTTTCTTGGCTCCTATTACAGAATGACTATAATTTGCATCTGGCAATAGAGATGATAAAGCTGTTAAAAGGTGGACAAATACTGAGTTCAATTTGTAAACTCACTCTGAGCATAGATATCTATTTCGGGACAATTAAACAAAACAACTATACAAATGATTTGTTTTGAAAAGTCCTACCTTTTACCACTGAGTTTCTAAAGCTCAATTTGCAGGCAGGCAGCTACTGCCACTTCAAAAATCAGCTGTATAGCTTTCAACAAATGGATTTTCTCTAATTTCTTCTGACACTTATCTTTTTCCTTTTTTATCTGTGTTCTACTCTCTCTAAACTGTTACAAGTATACAGGACAAACAGGAATGTTAAAATTGCTTGGTAAGTGGAGGTGAATTTTATCTGTAGCATGCAAGCTAATGACGAAGTAACATTGATTGCAGTGCTTTTTGTGTGTCTAGTGCTGTATAGTTTCTAAGAAATCTTGTACAGCCGAGGAGATCTAGACAGACCAAAATCTACATTCTCACATTTCTAATTGCGCAGACAATTTCATTACAAAGAAGAAAGCACTTATAAATATTTGTATATAAACAGACTATCCCTGTTTTTTCTTCATAATTGAGAAAAATCGATAGTGGATGGATAAACAGTAGACAAAAGATGATGTAATATAACTCAGACTTTATCTAGCAATTAAGTTATGTGCTCAGATAACCAAGAATTTCTAAACAAATAGATTGGGATGTGAGAAGAATGTCCAGATTGACCTCTGAAATTGGGCTCCCTGAAGTAAATGCATCTGTTCCTGTAAAAATGCTCTGTGGATATTTGTGAACAGATGGGGACCCATAAATTAAATATTTTATTTTACTGTTTGTCTGGATTCTGTGATCACTTAAGCAGCCATGGAGCCCTCTGATGTTTCTAATATGCTTGTTTAGGCATTTTCTTAATGTTTGAGTGTTCCTCAAAGACTTAGGATTAGAGCAAGATACAGACCAAAAAAAAAAACAAAAAACAAAAAAAAGCTAAACCTGTGATTTAGTAAAAGTGCTGTGAGCCACCTGTAGGTTTCCCATGCTGCATCCACTAAAGACATTAGAGATTTCACTGTTCAATTGCAAGGATCCTTGGATTTTGGCTAAAACATCTGAAATTACAGAGCTCAGTTTCTCCTCTGAATCCACATGTAACATAAGTGTAGTAGGAGTAGTAAAATACCAAAAAGTAAACTTTATGTCCCTCGCTCCCCGTGATTTTGGTTTGCCCATTTCCAAGAAGTGCATCTCTTTTGGGGCTGATTATGGTGGAATCTCAGGAGAGGAGCAAGAGCCTTGAAATCACCTGCTCTCTATAAGTAAAAAGCCTCAGAGGAGCTTTGCCAGCAATCACAGCTTAAATTTCCTAGCCAAAAGAGTAAACTCACGGACCTGAGAGTTCACTTAAAATCATTCTCACAGGGACTCAAAGGAATTGAGGGGAAACTAAATTTGTACATTCTGTGAATAAGATTACATTTTTTCTTCTGGCATCCTTGGTTCAGCAAGGACTGAAGAGCTTTGGCTGGAGCGTGCCTGTAGCTGAAGAACACTTACAAAATTTGTTGGAAAAAAAAAGGCACTATTATGATTAATTAAAAGAAATAAAGCATGAATGCTTTGTTTTGCTGAGTCTTTCTCAGTGTTGACTACTCATCTGTCTGAAAATTTTCCCCAAGAAATCCAATTTGAGGCAAGCACTTGGCTTAAATGGTTGGAGTTGGCTGTCATAACTGGTTTTTTTTTTAATGCAATGTACCATGTTGCTTTTAACATCAGTGGCAGGAGCTAGCTATGCTGTGGAACCAGACCAAGAGTAGTACAAGGTTGTACTCTTTGGAAGGGAAACACTTGAGGGAGCTGTGAATTCAGGAAGGAGAAGGCAAACGTATAGATGACATTTTTCAAGATAGGACTGGCTTCTGAGGAGGAATACCTTGCCAAAGAATTTTTGAAGAGGCACAATGCCTCCCCTAGTGGTCGGTTAATATTCTGCTCATTTGCAGTACAAACTGGAAGAGTTTCCCAGAGTCGATTTCCCAGTATTATCTATTTTTAAAGATGTCATACTGCCTACATAGGTATGTCTGTATCTCCTCAGCTGTCTGTCTGGAACTTTTTTCTTTCTTCCCCCCGCCCCTCCTATCTCTGTTTTATGTGTATCTTTACTATAACTCAGATTGTCAGCGTTCCTGGCCATCCTTTTCCACAGACCAGCAATCTTCCAGCGCTCCTTCCTCTCCAGGTAAATCTCATAATATTTCATTGCTCCATCACCTTTGTTAATTACTAAAATCTTGCAGTGTTCTGTCTGGAATTGCCTGTTGTGGCACAGAAAATTATAGTGCAGTCCTTTTAAGAAAGCGTAGGCTTCTTATTAGATTTTTAAGCTTGGAAAGTTTTTCAGATTGTGAACTGCAAATGTTGAAATAAATACTACCCAGTGCTATTCTTCTAAATGCATTAATTAAAATTTAAGTGTTCCATGCTTAATGGTGTTTTCAGTTTTTGATTGTCCTTGCAGAAGAGGAATTGGAAACTGTTTTCTCGCATAAAAACATCCCACTACCAGAAAAGAAGCTCCATGAATGTCATAGGGCATACAAAATTGTGTTAGTAATGTAGAAAACTCATCAGTAATTTCTTGTGAGTGATTGTGATTATACTCATTGATTAAGAAGTTTGGACCTTCTATTTTGGAGTGGGAGTTCTCGTGTTAAGGGGAGTGTATTCTTCACCATTTGAAAGTAGTATTTGGCCCAGCGTTATCAGTGGAATAGTCATACCTTGTAGTGGTATCCATCAAATACAAAGATAATAAATTTTGGGGACCCCTGAATTCTGGTAAATATCCCTTGCTGTATCTGTTTACTGTTTCTTTTCACTCATTATCCATTGAATTTTTCTTTTTAAAGCCTTTTTTATGTGTGTGTGTTTGAGAAACAGCCACTCAGAGTCCAGTGGGTATGGATTTCTTTTTATACCACTTCTATTAGGTGTTCAGGAATCTCACTGCTGGCCTTTGTACCAGAGTGGCAGAGATCATGACAAACTTCTTTTTCTTGTCTTCAGCTTTACCCTTTTGACAGTTCTTAGTAAAGTTTGCTTATGGATGAGGGTTAAGAAATGCTGACTTTTTTATCATTTTAGAAATCTTTTGTTCAGCTTGGGCAAAACCTTTGCCTTGAAGCCTTAACATAGATGTTTTTTCAATCAGTCATTACAAAATTAACTTCTCCAGGCTGTAGACCTGACTAAGTAACAAGCTGCCTCATTCCACTGAAATGCCCAGTGATCTATTGAAAAAAACACTCTGTGGTCCAGTCCCTGAGGGCCAGCAGTGTACTTTTCCTGTGTAGATGTGTAAGTCATGAGGGAGACTGTAATTTCTGACATCGGTCTTCTCCCTGGCTTTTCAGCTCTAACAGTGAGCAAGTCAGCAGTGATAAAGCTGTACATGGGGCAATTAGCTCCTTGGTGCTCTGAAGCAGATTTACTTCAACAGAATGTGTGGAACAGAACCCTTTGTGAACACCATGCTCTTCTCTTGACCCCTCCTCACTCTGTGCCAGCAGATTGCATGGAAATGTTTTGAAGTGGTTCCTCCTTTATGTTTGAAGCAGCAAGATTATATATATGAATGAGAGAATAAAAAGTAGAGAACTGCATCAGTCACTAGAACAGAACATGATCTTGGTTATGACCATCTTAGAAGTTTTTAAAATAAGGAGAGAGAGACTGTATTTGCCTTTTATTAAGTAGCTTCTCATCTCAGTATTCTCTGTCAGCTAATAGGTAAATATTGACTTCCTGTTCCAGATGAGGGTACTTACTGAATTAAAATGGTTGTGTTAGTGAATATCTACAGAAACTTGCTTACTGGTTTTGATTCTCTATGCAATTTGTTTGCACTCGAGTGTAAATACAGTAATATTTTATGCATGCAGAAATTCTGTATCTTCTTTGACAAATGTTAAGACTACACTCAAAAATGCACTTGGGGTTCTGAAACTGGCAGAACTTAGGAGAAATTAGTTTAGAAGGAGAATTTAGTTTAGAAATGAAATCTGTACCACTCTACCTAATTTCTTGGATGCATGAACATTTTGGTTATAAAAGCAATTCTGTCTCCCAGGACTTCCACTATCTGAAATGGTCTTTCCTCTGTAGTGCTCCTTGTGATGAACTGTGCATCTTGACATTTGACTCATGTAGGGGTTGATAAATGAGGCTTCCTTCCCATGAAGTGAGGCAGGGATTGGGAACCTATAAATTGGCTCAGACAGTGTGTGAGAGAAGCTGTCTTACCATCATGAAAATGCTGATGCTCCTTTGGTGATCTAGACCTGGTTTCTTGGTCTTAGTCACATTAATTACACCCCAAGAGATGATTTTATAAATTAAAATTGAATTAGAGATGACATAGAGGAACTGATCTTGTCATTCAGGTGTTCATGCACTACTGCTGTAGAGCAGACTGGTATGACTGATTATCATACATTGACTTTTAGATTGTGCTGTGATACTTTAAAGTCTAGTGTATGAGGAGTATAAAGAGTTCTACTTCTAATGTACTTTAAGCTGTATGCACATCTTTGTAGTAACTTCTGGTTATAATATTCTGTTAAAATGTGCTGTATTTCAGAAATCCAAGCAGTAAGTCATTTTTAGAAGAAGCTGTATGCTATTGCTGTAACCGTTATCTGCATATTTTCTCACAGTGAAAAAAAGCCCGACGTTTTTAGATGTGAACACAGGACCCTTCATCAGGACCAACAGTTTTGCCGATGAGCTTGACCTGGAGGGTGAAACGCTGTTAACCCCAATAACTCACATCTCACAGTAAGTCAAGGTCATTGAATTGTGCATTAGTTGACTTAGACAAGAGAAGCCAATCCAGGTGGGAGGAGCTGAAATATGGAGCTGATAGGGCTATCTCAGATATTTGCGTCAAACTCTTTTACCTTGAAGTCGGTGTATACTTTTCTGAGTGCCAGTAAATCTTCTTGTTGACCTAAAGAAAAGTTCACTTGGCTTTGACACAAGGTTTTAGTTTTTAGCTAATGTCCGTGGGCAGCTGGTGGTTGATAGCCTTAAGATTTTCACATGCAGACAATGTGTGGGAGTACTTGCCTGTTGAGAATTATGTTAATCCCTCCGTCGTTTTCCAGTGGAATAGCTGTAAAGTGCAAATTTAGAAGTACATAAATGAAATACTGGCCTTATATTTCAGCAGTACCTCCTGGAGTGATTATAAGATGATATGTATTGGAAGAAAAATGTGTTTTGATCTTTATTACTGCTTTGTGATGTATTGAAATGACTCGAAATAGGCCTATATTTTTTGTTTTTGTTTTTGTTTTTTAAAAGGTTTTCCACGTTTCTTTTATGCTAAAATGTCATGGCTCTTCAGATTGTTCTAAAAAATTCTTAAGATAATAGAATTTAAGTACACTACAATGTCAAAAGGAATAATGACTCAAGAACAGCTAAATATTTTATTTGAACACCTTAAAAATATCTGTCACTGTCTAATTCAGATTCCTAACAAATTCATATTGTTTGCCATAGCAAATGTGTGACAGTGTTTAATAGATCAAACTCTTTCACCTTGCTGGCAGAATGAGAGAGTTTCTTCCTTTCCTATTCCTAGAAATCTGACTATTTCTGCAGTGAAACCACAGATGAAAATTCTTGGCATACTTAGTTTCAGAGGTACAGCATATGCAGAAATGCCTGCTGCCAATTTTCAGGCCTTCTTTCTCAGTGATATAAATAGCAGAGAAGAACAAACATACATGCTACTGCCCCTTTGGAAAGGGTATGAAACAAAGAAAACGTAGGTTTTGGAGAACAGTGCCGGCTCCCAAACAAAATAATTTACATTCTCAGCTGAATCACCTACATGTACATACATCTGTAGGCAGAGAGTTTAAGAGACTTTTATTCTGGAAGATTTCTTAGTGGTGCAAGCAGGAGGAGGAAGTCATAAATTTCCTCTAGCCTTAGACAAGAACAACGGAGCAGCAAAAGCAGATCTAGAAGTTTCCTTTCCATAGCTTTAAAAAAAAACACAAAAAACCAACCAAACTTAACACAACATTGCAAGGCTTTCTTTAAGGGAAATAAGCTTTGGTGCTAGGAGTTTTCATCACCCAATTTGGACTTGCTAATGATTCCTTTTTTTCTCATTGTCACCTTGAAACATTATAAACAGTAAGGTGCTCTTCTACTTTAAAGTCGGATTTTGTAGTATTTGAGAGGTGATTTTTATTATATTATTGTCACTTCTGGGAGCCCTTAGAATATAGGTAATGTGAATCAGCCCCCCAAAAATATGGGATTCACATTCTTTTACGTGTTCACTGTGTTTTTGTTTTTTTATTATTGTAACCTTCATTGAAATTCCTATATCGTTCTAGATTATAAGTAATGGAACAGTACAAAATGTGTCCATGTATTTGCTTTGTGTTGAGTCTCTATTAAGGCAGAAGAAAGTGGAGGTCATGTATTGGTAGTTTGTTTGGTTTTGGTTTTGTTTTGATTGGTTTTCAAAGACTTTTTGGTTCTCAATTCAAAACCAGATAAACTGGATTAAATGTAAAGCTGGATAAAATATTAATTGACTTGCATCCCTTTGAAGTATGGGTGCCCACATGTTGTGTAGCTTATGGGCTGCTCACTCAGAAGTGCATTTACTTGGTATGCAGTCGATTAAATGTCGAAACAAGGCCAGAGAGGCCCATAGATATAAAGATTTGGCAAAAAATTAGAGAAAACGTTGTGTTTTGCAGAGTTTGTTGTTGTATTTCATGTTTAGATAACAGATGTTCTCCCCAGCATTTTGGAATTAAGAAGTCTGTAGTGCTTTTTTTTTTTTTTTCCTATTGGGTTGTACAGTGAAAAGCAAGTTATTGTGCAAAGTTTCAGCAGACACGTGCTGCTGGATGTTAAAGACCCGCCAATTTCCACCAATTATTTGGACAAATGCTTATTTTTCATTCTTAATTTCAAAGTCCTAAGGAACAAATGTTTATGAGCTGTTATTGCACGTGTCAGGAGGGCCTGAATATTAAGTGTGTGGGAATATAAGTAAGCGTGAAATTTAGAGCTATGGCCTATGCAATATGATTACTCCAAATTAGTTGATAAGGAAATAAGCAACCATTATGCAAGCATTGCCAGGCACTTAACAAAAATGCAGCACCAGCTATGAAAACAACTTAGTGGGGAAAAGTCAAATAAAGTGCAAATAGCTCTAGTTGCAGGTCTTAAAAGCAAGTCATAGTCTATCAGAGAAACAGGAGTATGAAGGCAGTTTAAGGAGCTGAGGCAGTGCCTCTTCTGTAGAACTCCTGATCTAGGAATGCTTAGGTTTGGTATTGGATGCATTATTTCCTGATCAATTACATATTCGTTACAACATATATATGAGTTTGTCCACCAACCACAGAAAGGTGACTCCAGAATAACCATGAATGTTTGAATGTCATAAATACATGAATAAGTATGACACAGTTATTTGGAGACATGCAACTGGAAAATGACTTTCGTTTGACGTTGTGGGAAGTATTTCCTTTTGACACATAACATAAATCTTCTGGCAAAAGTGGGAAGTACCTGCTGCACTACTATCAGGCAAGCACTTGATATCATTGTGTCTTAAAGTGAGGCTAACTCACTTGGCTTGGGTTGTAGACAGAAAATTCTATCTTTCAGTTGTTATGACAAAGGGCTTTAGAAAGGCTTTATGTATCTAGGCCTAAAGTTCCCTTTAAATTGAATTTCAGTGTCTTGCTTGCTTATGCAATAATTATTCCTTATTTTTTATATGGAAGCAGATTTTCTAATTGAATCTAACTTGCTGAATTTTGAATGTGATTCTGAAATAAATTATATAGCTAATATAGCCCTAATTCAGTGGAATTAGGGGAAATCTTTCTTGTGGAAAAATGGCTGCAGCTGTTAATCGTGTCCCTCCTACTTTGAGGAAGCAGAAATACAGAAGCACTTTCAGACCTGATGTTTAAGCAGGAAACAGATTAACATAGAGTAAAACAACTTTGTGGCAGATGTATGAAAAAATACAGAGCAGGATAGTAGCAGATAAAAGAGTGTGACTGTGCTTATTCTTCTATGTGAGAAGTTCCATAAGCTCAAGATTCAGTTGGAACAACCTATTTGGCTGTCAGAATTCACCCAGAAAGTGAACTTTGAAACATGCAAAATGGGGAAGAGGTGAGTTAAACTGAGCAGAAAAGAAAGAGAAGAAAATAATGAAAAACTCTCAATCCAGTGTATCTTCATATAATGAGTTCTTCACTCCTTAAAGCACTCCTTAAATATAGTTCCAATTCTTCATTATTTTTTTTTCAGGAATAAATTCATCTCTCTCTTTTTCATTTCCATAGTTTTCTACTCTCAAGGTTCAACAGCTTGTTAAGCAGTGGCTTGTTTAATCAGTTTTGATATATAATGTATAGTACTTCTTTCTGCTTCCTAATAAGTACTTTTTTAAAGGAAATGCTCTCTAGGTTTATAGAAGCATCTAGTTTGGAAAAGACCTTCCAGGTCACCGAGTCTAACCATCTATCTGGCCTACCAAGTCCCAATCACTAACCCGTATCCCTTAGTGCCATAAATGTATTGTCACTTTATTGCAGAAGTTAAAATGTAAAGATAGCCCTTGAAAACTGTGTTTAAACTCCTTATATACAGAGGGTTTTTTGTTTGTTTGTTTGTTTGTTTTGTTTTTTTTACAAAGTGTACAGGGTTTGATGTGAGCCCTTAAAGAACTCATATCTAGTTAAATCTCCTTGAGTATCATGCCAAATGAGTACTCACTGGCATAAGATTGCATAGGCCAATATACTCTCTGTGCAAAATTGCTGGCAAAATTCTTGATTGTCAAATCGTGAATGTGTTACTACTTCATATATCTCTCTATCTCTTGATTTTAATTTTTGTTTTGCAAAGATTGATGTCAATCCAACTACTTCAGGGAGTGTGTTTCAAAGTGAAAGCAGCTGCACAGTGCTTTTGTGTTCCTGTTGCAGTTTATATGGCCAAAATAACAACATGGCGTTTTAATGATTCTTTCCTACATGTTTCATAAGTCTCTGTTGAGATGACAGATGTTTCATGAGATAAGTGATGGTAATGGTGGTATACTTACACTTGTAAAATAATTTTTAAGTGCAGGATTGCTTACAATGGCATACCGTGATCTTTGGGTTTAATGCTGTACGCTTATGCTAGAATAAAGCATTAGATTAAAAACAAAAAGCAGTTTCTTCTGTTAAGTGTATTTCTACCCTGAAAAAAAATGTATCACCTTTCTTTTCTATCTCTGTCAGCACCTCGGGTGTTGTAGAGTCTTCTAGGCATTGTATTAGGAGCAAGTGATAGGTTCCTGTGTTGGAGATGTTTTTAAAAATAAACTTTCGTATAGTTAAGCAAATAAATTTGGTGCTTTTTAATTTTTAGATTGGGAAATGACTGCAGACAGATCTTTCTGAGCAGCTGTAATGAATACTTTGGGGCACTTTATCATTTTAGTTGTATTTCAAAGTGAACTGACAAACACTGAGTGCAGTGTCCATGGTGCTGCAGCTACCAATGGCTTTTCATTGAAGTAATGTTTCCTTTCATATTTCCTTATGATTTTATTAACGTTTTACATTTTAATTAGCAGCATATAATCTATTGACAAAACACAGAACCTCATTGTCTAGAACAAAGAGTTCTGAATGTGTTTTATAACTGTCGCATTTCTTTTAGATTATCAGTGAATAGAATTCCTATTTGCTTTCATTTGATAGCTCATATTGTAACAGATTCCT